GTCAGGAATCAAACACACTGACACACTGAAAATAGAGCTCAATGTTATTTCTGGATGGAGAGAGATTCATTATGCAATCGCGAACGTTTGTTCATATCAAGTTTTATCCATCTCAGACAGGTTCGATTTCAAACAAACAAATAAAAAAAAATGATTTGCTGTTGTCAAGTCAAACCGACCTTGATATTGCAAGAAGAATCCTCGTGCGGTGTATAGTCTCTTCGTGGCGACGAGGTCGAGAGTGATCACGTTTGAGTTCGAGATGACCTTGACGCCGACCACGGTACCGCAATTCTCGAACAACGTTCTTCCTTTTTCTCGTACTCTCACAATGTCCACGCAACTTCCGTCCGATTCAGGTTCTGAAACACAGTTAGAATGTCATATTTGTCTCAGGATCAGTACAATATTCAATTTTTAACTGTCAACAATTATGAACAAGGAAGTTTCACTCCGATAAATAATTCCTCGCAAGAATTTAACGTATAAAATAAACGAAGCTTATTAACCTTAAGACACGAAGTTCGTATCTGATGCTAAATTTGACATTCCCAAGTATCGATTGAATATTAATTCGCGTTCGCGAAGCACGTTCATTTCTCTCGGAAAACACATTGTCACGGCTCGTAATTTCTTCATCGATTCTATGCAAGATCTATGAAAGTTAAATCTCGAAGGTCAAGAGAATAACGAGAGATGGCTCGACACGGATCGATACTCACCCCGGATATTCAGGTCGTGGAACGTCAGGACAATCCTGTGCCCAGGAGTCGACCTGAAGGTCCAGCCGCACGTATTCTCGCCGAGGTAGTAAAGCGGATAACCCGGTGAATTTATGAAGCCACCCTCCCCAGGGACCACCTTCAGCTCCTCGTTGCAATATTTCTTCACGGCAGCCTCTGAAAAAAAAACCGTATAAATTCGAGTTTAAACATCGAAACAAAAGAAAATGAACGACTTAACATCGATGTACAACGTAAATATTTCTCCTCTGCGGAGGAGATTTCAATTATCGTCACCGAGGGTGGAAAGAAAAATTAAATTTCCTTCCTAATATAGGAAGACAAGGAAGAAAAAAAAATATAAATTATTCGTATACTGAAACACGCAGGAATTCTATTCTCTCCGGTTCGACCCGACTCGATTGAATTACCACCCCCAAGTAAGAGCTCCTGGGGAAGCTATTGTTACAGAGACACGAAACGACGATACTTCTACCGGCATAAGGATGCTGATCAACATCTGCATCCGTTTCGGCCCATTTGTCGATTTCGAATGTGACTCTGGCCACCATTATGCGACCGAGGGTGTCCTTGCTCCACTTTCCAACAGAGGGGTGAACCGGCCGGAGAATACCTACACCTGGAGGGGGCTGATGCCGGTTGTAGGGCGTCGAAGGGGTGGCTCAGCCCTTCCCACCTTTCTCATCGTGAAAAAAGATGCTCGTTGTCCCGCAATTTCGTTCCTTTCGAGTTCTTTCTCTATTCCTTTCAACGAGCAAAATCGCTGTTTTATCGAACCACCATTGAATCGCACGTGAAGATTGATATTTTCGAAATAGGACGAATGTTTTGCATGGAATGTTGTGATTTCATAAATGACAATTTTGTTCTTTTCAGGTTCTTATTACTTTGAAAGAATAAAATTAAATCTACCATGGTTTTGTAGACCATGGAATTTTACGCCTTTGTGTTACACGTCATTAATGTGAATTGTATCATATTTTTAAGATGGAAACAAGTTTTTGTAATGAGGCACGCATATGAGACGAAGTCTGATTTTACAAGCAATTTTTT